GGAAAGTGAGAAATCCCCCCCCGGGGGGATGGTCACGCCGCAATCCCTTCTCCTCCATTCCCCTCTCAGGATCTTGGGCACATACGCACGCGCGCATGAGTTTAAGCCACCGGGTCCGGAACTTGAACCGTGGTCGACTACGTGGGAGTCCAGTGACATAGCCATTACACTAACTGCTGATCCCACAAATTGGAAGTTTTGGGTTTGGGTTGCTGTTGTTTTAGTTTGCTATAGGGTGTGTGTGCTTGATGGAGAGAGACAGGGAGAGAAAGAAAGAGAGAGAAAGTGAGAAATCATCCTGAAAGGGGATGGCCATGCCACAATCCCTTTTCCTCCGGTCTCATTTCAGGATTTATGGGCACTCATGCACCTGGTGCTCAGAGTAATTTTCAAGCCTCCAGATCTGGGATTCAAACTGCAAAGCAGGCTATGTGAAAGCTCATTGCCTTCATTGCCACACCACCTGCGGGCTAAAAACTAGAAGGTTGTTTTTGTTTTGTTTTGTTTTAATTTAACTTAACCTTTAAATAATTATTTACTTAATTCCATTTGTTATTATTATTGCTTTAGAGATTTATTTATTTATTATTGGTATGATTTTTCCATTTGACCAGAGAGAGATTGAGAGACAGAGAAAGGGAAAGTGAGAAAGTCAGCCGCCAGGTTCAAGACTACAACCACAGTCAGCCAACTGCAGCTAGCCCCAAACTAGAAGGTGTTATTTATTTATTTATTTATTTGGAGAGGTTTTGGCTATAGGGTGTGTGTGCTCACCAGAAAGATAGAGAGAGACAGAGAGACAGAAAGCGAGAAATCACCCCCCAGGGAGGATGGTCACGCCGCAATCCCTTCTCCTCCATTCTCCTCTTGGGATCGTGGGCACGCACGCACGCACGCACACACACACACACACACACGTGCCCGGCGTGAGTTTTAAGCCACCGGGTCCAGAATGCCAACCACGTGGGAGTTCAGCGACATAGCCATTACGCCAACTGCTGGTTCTCTATCCTCTAAGATTTTTGTGAACTTTTAGACGACACTATAAGGTGAGAATTCAAGGAAGAACAAAAATTATGGGCCAGCAGGCAGTGTCGTGGTTAAGGCACTGGATTCCCACATGGCCAGTGATGGTTCAAATTCTGGACCGCCTATGTGCATTTTGCCCAGTATGATTTTTCAAGCTGCCTCGTCCAGAATTTGAACCATAACTGGCCATGTGGGAATCCAGTGCCTTAACCACGACACTGCCTGCTGGCCCATAATTTTTGTTCTTCCTTTGGATTCTCACCTCAACAAGGCTGCTTGAAGAATTAATTACAATATATAGCGAACTGACACCCCCTGGCATGTGTTTGTTTAGAATTTCTCCATTCCCTTGCTTTTCTGCCTCAAGTTGCATTGTTTTCCCCTAAGACCATCACTACATTAAAAAAAAAATTAATGAATTTGTTTATGATGATTGGGGGTGTCAGTTCACTATATATTGTAATTAATTCTTCAAGCAGCCTTGTTGAGTAGAGAATCCCCCCAATTGATAGAGGATAAATAGCTCAGAAAAGTGAATTGATTTTTTTTTTTTGAGAGGTTCTTGCTATAGGGCACGTGTGCTCACCAGACAGACAGAAAGAGACAGAGAGACAGAAAGCGAGAAATCACCCCCCAGGGGGGATGGTCACGCCGCAATCCCTTCTCCTCCATTCTCCTCTTGGGATCTTGGGCATGCACGCACACACGCCCGGCATGAGTTTAAGCCACCGTGTCCGGGACTCAAACCGCAGTCGACCACATGGGAGTCCAGCGACATAGCCATTTCACTAACTGCTGGTCCCAGAAAAATGAATTGATTTTACCAATGTCACTTGCATGTTAGTAGAACAAGAAATATGGATCCCCAGATCTCTGTCCCAAAAACCTGAAACTTGGCCTTGCTAGTCAGCTGAGTACCATGTCCTGACTTAAGACAGTGCCTGTTTCCACTAAGTAACAGTGGCAGAATCTGGGAACCAGCAGTTAGCATAATGGCTATGTCGCTGGACTCCCACATAGTCGACTGCGGTTCGCGTCCCGGACCCGGTGGCTTAAAACTCACGCTGG